TTTCGTCCGTATCCATTCCCCTTCCTCAACCTACTCCTCCTCGCCCGCGGCACGCGTTTCATGCGCCTCGCGATTGGGGGCCGCGCAAAAGCGCTCTGGCGCGCGGGGCGCGAGAAGTGCCGAGCGCACCGAATGCGCCATATACACCAACTGCGCGATGTGCGCCAGGGCTGCACTGGCTGCGCCAAATTCGCCAAATGCGCCTGGTTCGCCACTTGCCGCAGGATGGGCAGGCGCGCCGCGCGCGCAGGTGCGCGAGGCGCGGAACGGCCCAACTGGACGCGAAACAAAGCCCCGCAAATAACCGGCCAAGCAATGACCATAACACTCTCGCGGCCCCGTAAACCCCCACGAGCCATCGCCCGGCAACGCATCGACGCTCCACGTCAATCGCAAGAAGCGATCGACCACGACCGACCCTTGAGAACGACGGCGAGCAAAACACTGCAACACTCCACCACGAACAACGCACGTGCTTATCCAGACAGGACGCGCGTCACACCACGCGAACATCTCCTCTGCATATCGCGACGTCCACGGGCGAAGCCAACGCCAAATCACGCACGAGAAAAGAAAAAAAGCATTCGGGCACCACCCGCTCGGGACATGGACCCGTTCGCACGCGACAGACCGCCCGCCCTTGGCAGGGGCGGAAAAAAAACACGCGGGGGGAATTGCGCAGCTCAAACCGCGACGGCTGCAGAGAGGGGGGGGGGGGAAGAGAGAGCGCCCGGCGAAGGGGGCGGGACCCCTCCGTTTCAGCAAGCACGAGGGAGCATAGAATCCCCCCGCATCCCGCGCGCTATCTTGAGGGGGGGCGAGGGGGCGCCTTCCTCCTGCGGCGAAAAGCCGGGCCCGGCCTCTCCAGGCAGACCGCCCGCCCGCGGGCGCCTCGCCCGCCGCCCGCGCGACCTCGCACTCCAATGGGGGAACGGGAGATTCCGCTGCGTGGGGCCCCCGCCGCAGGCCGAGCGGCGGCACTCGCCGTCCTCGGCAGGGAGCGCGGCGGCGAACGAGGGGCCCCAGCGCTGGCTGAGCCGCCGCGCCCCCCGGCAGCGGGCCAACTCGCTGGGCGCCGTTCGAGGGGGGCGCGACGGGGCATGCCAGCCTTCCGCGCGGGGTTATCCTGGTTGCCCCCTCCAGGACCCCACGCGGGAGGAGGGCCGGGCAGTCTCTGGGCGCGGCGCGGGGGATGCAAGTGGGATGAGGAGGAGGAGGAGGAGGAGGAGGAGGAGGAGGAGGAGGAGGAGGAGGAGGAGGAGGAGGAGGAGGAGGAGGAGGAGGAGGAGGAGGAGGAGGAGGAGGAGGAGGGGGAGCGCGAATCGCGCCCGCGATCGCCGCCTGCGCGCCCCCCGGCCCCGCGGCAAGGGCGCCCCCCGCCGTCGCCCGCCCCCCAGAACTCGGGGGCGGGGGGCCCCTCGCTGTCCACGGGGGTCCCCTGGCAGGGGTTCCCCCGGCAAGGATGCCGCTTCACGCATCTGTCGGGCGCGAGGGGGGGGGGGGGGGGGGGGCGGCGGCCCCCCGTCCTCGCCCTCCTGCGCCGATCGCTCGGGCCCCGCCCTGCCCTGCAGGCTCTGCGCCTGGAGGTGGGGGGCCCTGCGCGTGAGTCGGGCGCTGTCCCAAGTCGGGGGCGCTGTCCTCCCTGGCCCCGGGCGCCACAAGATCCGTTGCACCTGGCAGACCTCGGGGATGTAGTCTCCGACTCCGTCGAGGAAGAAGATGAGCATCATCCCTGGCGGTCGCTCAATCTCGCCGTCTCTCCTCCCTCAGCAGCCGGCATCTCCTGCACCTGCGCCCGCGCGCTACACTCCGGCCGGGCGAGTCTGGGGCGACGATCGAGGCCAGGCCGATTCCGGGCGGGAGGAGGAGGTCGTCCCAGGATGCGCGCGCGGCGTCGCCCAGGCGATGCCCCCCGCCTGGGAACCCGTACTTGGTCATCTGCCATTCCCCCTGCATCCCCGGGGAAACCCGAGCTCCCGCGTGGCCCAATGCAGCGCTCGTATGCCACCTCCTGCGTCCGCATTTGGGGGGCTTCCTCGAACGCCGCCGCGCTCGGGGGAGATTGCGAGGCTGGCGCCCCATGCCCCAGCGCCCTCGCGGTGACTCGCCCGGAGCCCCCCTCTCCACCTGGCCCTCCGCTGGGGGGTGAATCCCCTCAGGATAAGCGGTTATCCAAGGTTTCCCGCCGCCCGCGGGCCCGCTGGCTTCCCCCGACCATGTCGCGCTTCCGGGGGATGTGTGTCGCGCGGGGGGGGCGGCCCCCTCCGCGCGGGGGGTGCGCTGGTCCGACCAATCCCCGGCCTCCCTCGGGACTCCCGTCGGGCCCTGGTCTAGTGCCAGCGGGGAGCCCCCGCTGGGGGACTCGGACCTCGGCCGGTGATTTCCCTCCTCAGCCCGAATGGCTGCGCCCGGGGCCTCCCGGGACACCTTCGGATCCAAGGGCTCCTCTGGCGACGAACCCAGGCTCATGGGTTCCCATGTCGGGCATGGATTTCAGGAGGGTCTCCAGCCGGTCCCCCATGACACGGCGCTGCTTCGCAGCCATCTTGTAGCAAGGGCCAGGAGGGCCAGATGCTTGGGAGGTCGGCAGAGTCCGAGCTGACCAGTCCTCGGGGGGCCGGAGGTCCCCCACCCTGCCTCATGAGCGACCGCCGCAGCCTGAAAGGAAGCACGTGCCATCAAGGCGTCCCGTTCTGTGACTTTTTCCGTGGCGCTGCTCGTTTCCGTACTGTTGGTCCGCGACGTGGCGCTCGATTGTGTAATGGTGGCCCCCGCTCGTTTCCGTAGCGCTGGTCCAGGACGTCGCGCTCGATTGAGTAGTCGTGGACACAGTGGCAATGTTCGATTCCGCATCGTTGATCCAGGACGTGGAGTTGGATGCACTAGTGGTGGACAACGTCGTCCTGCCCGTTCCTGTCTTACTGATTTGCGGCGAAGCGGTGTTCCAGCGGGCCAGCGCCCGCCCGACCAGTGCCTAATCAGCACTGCGCTCCAGAAGGCCGCGGCGCGCTGCGCCGAGGCCGGGCGCCGCCAGCCAAGGGTTGCGCCCAGCAGCAGCGGCGACAGCGGCGGCCCGGACGAGTACGATCAGGAACAGCTCGGGGATGGACAGACCTCCCTTTATTTACCGTGGTTTAGTGAAAACGACCTGAGACCCAAACCTGGCGGGCGCAAGCCTAGAAAAGAACGGCCGCGGCGAACTCTCGAGAACCGAGAACGGACAATTCACGAATCGACGTGTCACTATTGGGGGTTCTGTCCGCCCCCGAACGGCAAGAGCTGCAACCAACACCCGCCGGGGGCGACAGGCGCACCGCAGCCGGGCCCGCCGCGGAGCGATCACGGAGGTGGGCCTGCGTGCTCCGTCGTGCCGGCGCGTGGGCGGCGCGGCGGGGCGCCTGCCAAACTGGCCATCATATTGACCTTCTAACATAGGGGGAAAACAAACCTACCTCGCTTTTGACCACCCTCGCTTCCAAGAGATACCAAACGATGCCAAATTGCAGCCTGTACTGGTCAGGCCCCCTGACGAGGAGGCGCGTGGTATGGCTTGGTTTTGCCTGGAAGCGAAAGCGGGGTAGGTAATTCACGCTCTGATAACAGGCTGTCTCTGACTTCGGCAAAAGGTGCTTCTCAGAGGGCCAGAGGCCTTCTCGGCCCTCTGGGAAGGCCCGCCGCCTCTGCCTTCCCCCTGGGCGCTCGAACCACGGCCTGAGCAAAAAGGGCTACGGAAAGAAAGGCAGAGAAACATCTGGACGCCTCGACTCTCGAACCAAGACCCTCGAACTGTGATACCCCAGGGCGCCAGCTGCCACATGGTGCACTGCATGGAGACAGTCTGACCAGAATGTCGGGCGGAATTCTTTCGTGGCGAGGAGAAGGTTTCCGCACACCCAGGAAGGGAAGAGATACTACAAACTAATTCGGAACTCAACTTTCCAACCTCGAGTTGATGATGTTATTCTGAGTGCTGGCCGCAGTAGGGCGCAGGCGCAAGAGGGCCTCCATCGGCTCGGGCTTCCGACCGCCCAAGAAACCCCCAAAGGCCCCCAAGATAGCCCCAAGTCAGACCGAGAGGCTCCCAGGAAGGCCCCAGGAGTGCCCCAAGAGGCCCGCCAAGAAGGCTCCAGAGGCCCCCGAGAGGGCCTCAGGAGGGGGCATTCGAGCTGACTTGTCGAACCCTTCCCCGAGAGATGGCCCCTCCAGAGGCCCCCAGAGAGGCCCGCGGAGAAGCGAAAGACACCCTCGAGAGGCCCCCAAGAGGTCCACAAAATACCGCCAGGAGGCCGCCGAGAGGCCTCCCGAGGCACCCCAAGAAGCCTCCCAAAGGGGCGTCGTGTCCACGACCCAGTTTGGCTCTAAGAATGCTCCAATGAGCCATCGAGAGGCCTCCTCCTCTTCCTCCTCCTCCTCCTCCCCTCCTCCACCTCCTCCTCCACCTCCTCCTCCTCCTCCTCCTTTCTCGCTCGCCACAAGCACACCGACCGACATGTATCATGTAGCACCATTGATGCACCATGGGCCCGCGGAGAGAGCGAAGCGAATCAATTTGAAGTAAACTTTCTCACCTCGAGTTTGAGGTCCCATCCTCAGCGCGAACCGCGGCAGGGAGTAAAGCCACTCTTGCGGCCTCCTCGAAGCGCGGAAGTATTTTGGGGCCTTCTGGGGCGGGGGAAAAGGGCCCTTAGGTGAAGGGGATAACAACAAGGGGGTTGGCGAATGAGCTGCATGAGCTGGTTTTCCCGGGGCCTCCTGGCGCTGGAGCGGCCCTGTATTTTTAGAGGAAGTGTCCGGTGGCGCGGCCGAAATCAGCTGCACGTAGAGGCGAGCGATGGGACGGGTGTGCCACATCCAACTTGAAATCGGATTCTCAAGGGTGGCGGACCCAGCCGTGGCGACAAGGAACCTTTCAGAGGTCCAGAAAGGTACAACGCGCCCAGAAGCCTCGATGCTCGAACCAACACACTCGAGCCTCAAATTTCGACTCCCCCCCGGAGCGCCAGCCGCCGCAGAGTGTACTGCAGGTTCTCCTCCGGCGCCCCTCCGTCCTGCCCGTTGGCTCCGCCGCGCGGGTTCGCGAGGCCTCGCCGTATGGCGAGGGCCGCGCGGAGACGGACCTGGCCGCGGGGAGGGGTGGCGACCCAAGGGTACCAGGAGTTCTCGCGGAAACCTCGAAACATGTATGTTCATGCTGACGTTTCTTCTTCGATGCGCATCGATATCCGCCTCCTGGAAATGGAGAAGACGGGTGGAAACAGGGGGCAGGAAGGAACTCATGTTCATGCTCTGTCTTTTTTCGACCCTCCCTCTCGAAGTCGTTCTCCTCCTCCTCCTCCTCCTCCTCCTCCTCCTTATCATCCTACTAATGCCCCCCTCCCAAGGGAAGATCAAATCAATATCGAACCGGGTAACCGGATGGAATGTGAATGTGTGCCAAATCGCGCCGCACACGCACGGAGCCAGAATCGAATCAGATCGGCTGTGTAAAAATGCACAACAGCGCCACGCAGACATCGGGCCGCATTGAAACGTTCGAACACACAGGAACCGACTCGGATCGAACTGGCCGCATTCGAAATATAATCGAATCGATCAAATCCAGATGAGCCCTGAAACGGGGAGCGGAGTCTGTCCAGAACTGCTGATGCTGCTAACGTGCGGAGCTGAAGGGGGCCGTGTCCAGGCGTAAGCTGCCAGATCATAGCCCTCCAGACTAATATTGACCAGATGATGATGATGATGATGATGATGATGATGATGATGATGATGATGATGATGATGATGATGATGATGATGATGATGATGATGATGATGATGATGTGGCCCACTCCTGGTCGCCAACAGGGATCACCTAGTATGCGTGGGGCTAACGTACTAGATCTCGTCGTAGTAATTGGGCCTGCTATTTGAAGGACTCAGATATGGGCTTGTCTAAGTTCTTGATCATCTATCCCAACAACCTCTGCTCCGTCTGATTGGGCATGTCCAAACCCCGTGTTGTAAACTTTAAGCGTGTTAGCTGCTGACCGCCGTACGGCTCCAATCCTAGCTAGTCGGCCGTTGAATGTGTCGTGTCTCTCACGAAGCTCACTGCTAGATATGCCTCGTCCTCGTTTTCGCCCAGCACGAAAATCAATATCTAAGTTCGCAACATGATAAGAACTGAACCAAGATACCGTCCCAGGGCCTTGACTAGTTCCCGCTCGAAATCGAACTCGGAGGCCAATACTGCTGACTTGCTGACCGCGATGTCACATTCCAGCTCGTACTGGATTGCGTTCAAAAGACTGGCAGCGGCGTGCTTGAGGGAGTCAACGAGGGTGCGGTTGCACTAGTGGGAGTAGAGCAAGAGGAGGTCATCAATATGTGGAGAGAGATGGGTACGCTGCCTGCCCGAATGTCGAGGAGCTCTACGCAGTACATCTGCACAAGGAAAGTGACAAAACTGCAGCCTGCGAGAATACCTTTTACCGGGGAGCCTGCATCGGATGTCTGATTGTTTAATGATAGCATACGTTGGCCCTGGTATTGGTTGATGATGACGGACATGTTGCCTCCACTGAAACCCGCGTTTAGGGCTCGTTGGCGCAGTTTATCCCAATTTACAGGTTCAGAATACTTTGTTAGATCCCACATGATGAAGGTTGTGTGGATATGGTCCTGCTGTATGCTCTCTTTCTGCAGCGACTGCTGGTACACTAGCTTCACGATGGATCGACCAGCTTGGTGCGCTAAAAACTCTCGCCTGCTTTCCCAACTTCTTGCTTCTTCTTCTTCTTCTTGTATGATCCCCCCCCCAAACACGGTAAACCGCGGGCAATAAGCCAATGCCTCGATACGAAGGGCCCGTTCCAGAGGATTTGTGTTTTGGAACAGGGTTCCAAGCCTGTGACTAGGCCTGTCGCAGACTCCGGATGAGGAGGAGGAGGAGGAGGAAGAGAGAAGGAAGAAGAGCGAGGATGAGAAGAGAGGAGGCGGAGGCGGAGGCGGAGGAGAAAGAGGAAGGAGGAGGAGGAAGAGGAGAGAGGAGGAAGAGGAAGAGGAGAAAGGGAGGGATGAAGAGAGACGAGAAGAAGCAGGAGGAGAGCCGGCGCCTCTGGGTCGGCAAGCGCCAAGCTGTGAAAATGCTGCAGGAAGCCCTCTGCCGGCATCGGACGTGCGGTGGGCGGCAGCCCGGAGAGCGTGAGGAGTGGGAGGGGGGGGGGGGGACAAATCGCGGGGGCATGATGTAAAACCCCGGTGAGAGGCCAAGGTCGCATTATCAGAGGAAGGGGATACGATGGAGTTCCATCCTCATCCCAACTCCCTACGACCGGGGGGCGCCAGCAATGGAGCCCTTCGGCGTCCATTCCGCGCGCTCCCTTGCGACGCCAGCTGCAATTTGCCCCCATTGAGGAGGAAGAAGGAGGAGGGAGGAGGAGGTTCTGCAGGATGATAACTCAGGGGAGGAGGATGACTAAGGCCAAAATTCTGCAGAATTTGCCCTGGCTCAAGGTGTCCAAGATTTCCTGGGAGGCACCCGTGGCCTCCAGAGCACCCCTCACAAGGCACAGAGGCCCCCAGGGGGGCCCAAAACGTCAAGACAAGCTTGGGACACATTATGTCAGGGACACCTTTGGCAACCACCGCAGTTCATCTCCTTCTCCACTCAACTTCCTCCCTGCGGGGGAGGGGGATCCCGACATCACACTTTGCCTCCAGGACGCCCCCACCCCCCCCCAACTGCCCCTCATGGGGTGAGTTGTTTCGGCCTCCTCCGATCTTGATGGCGCCAGGCCACGAACACTACTCCAATAACGACATAACAATATCGATAACACGCCTGTCGGACGGCCTTATCAACGCGCTAACGTTAAAAAACGACCCGCTGTTTTGCACACCAAGCGGATGTGCAACACGCACGGCTTGAAAGACGACGCGCATATCACTGATACTCCTCTTCTCTAGAAAAATGGTGAGATCCTGTTTTGTTCGCGACGCCTGGATGACTAGGTCCCGAATCGACCCGTGGACCTGTTCAAGGGCGCGCTCCAGCAAGGAGGCACGAGGCGAAATCCGGCCGTGGACACGATGGCCCCCTGCAGGGGCTCAGGCCAATGGAAACCATCATACTCATCTTCCCTTCGCCTTTTAGAGCCGCTGGGCCCTTGGAACTTTGGACCCCCCTTCCCCAGGAGCACTGTCTCATCCGAGGCTGTTGTTCAACCCCTCGGGGCCGAGAGACAGTTCGATAGCACGAGTTTCGCTTGGGTTTCCAGAGGGCCTCAAAATCTACCCCTGGGCTTGCTTTTGAATGTGTGCTGGCCAGCTGGCCAGATTTTTGGGGCGGGCCCAGCGAGGGCGCTCGTGGGCTCAAATGTTTCGAATCGGACATCCCCATACGTGCATCTCATTTATTTGCACGTCCGCCTGTGAGCGGCTGAATGGGAAAATCTTAGCCTGTGGTGACTGAACGCTCCCTGGTAGCTCCCTTTTGAAGAGGCGGAATGATGCCTCAGGATGATCCTGAGACTCTGGAAGGAGAGGTGTCGGGGTCGCCTAGACCAGCGTTTCGCCTGAGGGGTCCCACGATCTTGACGAACAAATTGGCTTAGCGAAAGCAGGACGTCTGGATGATTACACCTGCTGCCTGCAAAAAGAAACTACCTTCGATGAACTCATTGCGGCCATCCCCGGGCACCAAAACACTTGGGTCCTCGATCCGAGGGGGGAGGAGGTTCCCACCCACCCCCGCGGTATCGCTGGGTTTCCGATGGCTGTGCCAGTGGCCGATGGGGGCCGCTGGAACGCAGTGGCCGATGGGGGGGAGGGTAGAGGGTGGGGGGAGATGGGAGGATGAGGGGGACGAGGGGGATTGAGGAGGGGGAAGGGGCTGGGGGGAGGTGGGAGGACGAGGGGGGAGAAAAAGGGGGGATGACGAGGGGGAGGACGATGAGGATTCTATGGATTCTATGCTATGGGGCAAGTGTCGAACAGCGCCAAGGGTACAATCCACAATCACGTGCGCGCGCTTGGATATTACTTTTGGGCCTAGCGGAGGAGTATGAGGAGGAGGGGGAAGGAGGGAGGGAGGGGAGGGGCGGGGCAGGAGGTGGGGGGGGGGCAGGGGAGAAGGGGAGGGGGCAACGGGGTGAGAACCCCTCCTCCCCCCAGACATCCGACGGGGACTTCTTCAGCCCGGGCCGCTCCTCAGCCCGGGCCCCTCAAGGCGCCCCCTCGCTGGATCGGGGAGACGTAAGACCCGGGTACGGGGGACTCGGAAACCCCCGACGAGGTCGTCAAAAAATGACGAGGCCGAGCCTGCATTTTGACGAGGCCTCCCGCTGCAGACATCCCACGAAACTCCTCCTCGTCAAAATCCGAGGCGCGGTCGTCAAAAAACGATGGCGAACCCGAGTCCCGGCAAACCCGGGTCTTACGCTCCCCCGACTGGAGGGCCAAAGGGAGGGGAAAGCCGCCTGGAGTTGAACACGCCGGTCCGCCAGAAGTCTGGGCTCCGGGCGCCGCCCACCCCCCGAGGAGCGGGCTCTGGCCGCGCCGGAGGCCCCCGCGGGAAGTCGGGGGCCCGTACGACGTCTGACGCCCGAGCCGCGGCGGCCGCGCCGCGCCTGCGCCCGAGCCGGGGCGAGCCGCGGCCTGGCCTTGTCGTCGCCGCCGCCGCCGCCGCGTTTGCCGCCCTCGCCCGTCGCTGCAGTCGTGGTCGTCAGGATCGTGGCGGTCGTGGTGGCAGTGGTCGCGGCCGTGGTTGTCGTCGTGGTCGACATCGTGGCCGTGGTCGCGGTCGTCGCGGCAGTCGTCGTGGTCGTTGCCTTCGTGGTCGTCCTCCTCCTGAATCTCCTCCTCCCCCCGTTTCCTCTCTTCCTCCTCCCACCTATCTAGTCAACCGGCTGCTAGGCAACATCACAAGCGGCACGTGTCAGGTCATCTTCGGCCTCCAGGGGCCTGTTTCGAGCTCTGGGGCCATTAACTCCAAAACAATCAAAACATGGCATTGACCAACCACTGCCAGGACAAGCTCAGGATTTACTGGTCCCTGTCTTGCACTCCTCCCTGATCGCCGTCCCGCTTCCAGCCCCCCCCCCCCCGCCCTCCCAATCCCGCATGCAGAAGCGTTACC